GAAGATACTACAAACTCTCAGAGACATCAGCAGTTCTCAAGGTCCACCTTCTGCTTCTGCTATCTCAAACCTTGAAATATCCACCAGTGGGGAGAAGATACTACAAACTGTCAGACTGAGCAGCAGTTCTCAAGGTCCACATTCCACATCTTCAGTCTCTAACCCTGAAATGTCCACCAATGGAGAGAAGATACTACGAACTCTCAGAGACAGCAGAGGTTCTCAGAATCCACATTCTGTGTTCACAATCTCTAACCTTGAAATGCCCACCAATGGGGAGAAGATACTACGAACTGACAGAGAGAGCAGAAGTTCTCAAAATCCACGTTCTGTATCCACAATCTCTAGCCTTGAAATGTCTGGCTCTTCAGACCCCAGTGATTCTTCTTACATGATAGTGCCTGCAGATTCCCAACAAGTGGATCTGTCAACACATGACACTGATGAAAGTTCTCAGTCTCCTTCAGCAACTACAGGTAAAGGAGAAGCAGAGGTGGCATTCAGCAGGTTCTCACCGGTTCTGGAGAACCGGTAGCGGAAATTTTGAGTAGTTCAGAGAACCAGCAAATACCACCTCTGACTGGAGATTTTCCCTGTATCCTTCCCCTGCCACGCTCACCAAGCCACACCCACAGAACCAGTAGTGAAAAAATTTGAATCCCACAACTGAGGAGAAGGATCTTACATTTGATCAAGATTTTAGAGTAGTCTTTTATTCATGTTGGGATAAAGCCAGATGTTCTATGGTAGATGAACAGAAAAAAGGAAAGAGAAAAGGAAAAAATAAGTTATCACTAGGGAAACAAGTTATTTTGGGAAAAAGAGCAGCAGTATGTATACATGACTGTTTTAAATAAATCTTCACTTCAAATACTGGGGAAGGGTAAAGGTGTTGCAGAAGGTTGCATCTTTATTGAGTGATGTCAGCACTAAAGATAATTTGGCTACCAAAATTATCTTCTTTTTATCTTATTGGATTCAAATAAATCATATTAATAATAGGTGGAATCACTTAAGAAAATTAGATATGTCCAACATTGGCTTTATCTTAATGCAGAGAAGGTAATACTGAGAAATTATAAGAACTACATTCCAAAATAAAATTGAAATAAAAAGGAATGATGATTATGTTCATAATTACAATAATCTGCTTCATTTGTATGACACCTTTTCTCTTGATGAAATTCAGAGTCTAAATAATGAACAATTCTAGAACAGTTGTAAAACAACATTTTAAAAGTGTAACAAATCTCTGCAAAGACCTGATACAACTGAACTTCATGCAGGCAGTTGCTGATGTTTCCTTTTCAACTTTATTATACGAAATATATAACAGATGCCCAAAACAATTTCAAAACAATTTTCTTTAATTTAATTATTCCTATGGTTTTTGTTTCCCATGCAATTAAGACTAAAGTGAATAGTTACTAGCAACTGCCCATTGGTTATGTATTTTCTTTTCAATCTTAAAGAGATATTTACTTTTCTAATCCTTGGAATATATTTCTAATTTTTGGTCAGGTTGAATATATCCTTTACAATAAATGTTAAGTTCATTGTTTATGATATCATTTATTGAAAAACAATTTGTTGAAATTAGCAACCTTTAAACTTTAGAGCAAAATTCCCATGAACTATTTGAGAAGCTATGGATATGAATACTTTTGTAGAAAAAGCACTTTTTCATTAAAATGGATACTAAAAATGATTTTAGATTTTAACTCTATGTTGAATTACAGAGAGCCGATAGTATGCAGATAGTATGCAGTTAGCATTTTCTAGACCTCATTACCATCATCTAGTGCAGGGGTGTCAAACTCACATTGTCAGGGCGGCACTATGTGACCTATTGGGACTTTTTTCCCCTTCGCTAAACTGGGTGTGGCCATGGCCAGCACGTGACACATCCGCCCCGTGGGCTGGGAGTTTGACAGCCCTCTAGTGGCTTCTCGATATTTGCAGTTAAGATATGGAAGATCTACACTACACTATGTTGAATAAAATAACTAAGTGTCCAGGTTGTGGGAAATGTTACCGTCAAAAGTGTATGAAATGCAAGAAGTGTCATACATTCTGTATTCTCATCCTTTCTCAGTGACCAATCGGATGTCCGTGGAAAGCCCAAATACTAGAGAGAAGTGCAAAACACCTTTCTGCTCATGTTCTAATGCAACTGAGATAGAGAGGCATCCCAAGACTTATACCAGAGGTAATATATAGCATTCATGATGGGGAGCCATCAATAGATCAACTGTCCCTAAATTCTCACCACTCTTTTAAAGATATCCAAATTACAGTAATGGCCAACTCCATATCACCATATTGAATTCTGTGTTCTGTTGTTTAATTATGGTCATAAAGTGATATACTAGGTTTCAATTTTAGCTTGAGCTTACAGATAGTCCTCAATTTATGACCACAATTGAGTCCAAAATTTCTGTAGCTAAGCAAGACATTTGTTAAGTGAGTTTGGGCAAATGTTATGATCTTACTTGCCACAATTGTTAAGTGAATCACTGCAATTGTTGAATCAGTAACACAATTGTTAAGTGAAGCTGGCTTCTGCATTGACTTCATTTGCAAGAAGATTGAAAAAGATGATCACATGATCCAGGGACACTGCAACGGTCATAAGTATGAGTCAGTTGCCAAGCATCTGGCCATGGAGATGCAGCAATGGTCATAACTGTAAAAAAAAGATCAAGAGTCACTTTTTTCAGTGCCATTGTAACTTTGAATGCTCACTCAATGAACTGTTGTAAGTTGCGGACTACCTGTATTGATTTGAATAAACTCAGCTGATGTAATTTACTAAATAATGCTTTATGGATACTGTTGAACCCAATCTGGTCTATTCAATAAATGATTAAGCAACTGGGTTAGCACCGTAAATAAACCAAACCTGTGTGCTATGCATATAATATATCTTGAATCTCACTATTTATCTACGTTAGCTAATTTTAAATTCAATATTATCAGAAACAGAATAAATCCCCCCCCCTTTTAGTTTAAGGAATTAAGGCAGATTAGATATCACGAGTTAATATTCATCAGAGATAACTTGAGTTGGTCTTATATATGATAAAAATATCAGATAATTAACACAAGCAAAATCTCAAAACATTAAATGATGTATTAAAATCTGGAATAACTTTTCTTGAAAAGACATGTACTGTATGTTCCATCAGATGTGGAAAAAACCCTGAGAGATTTAATTACAAATAAATATTTGGTATGTTGTGACAATTACTAGACATAGAATTGGATTGGTTTCTTTATGTATGTATAATTCCTTATCTATTTGTTTATATATTTTTCATAGGTTTATATGCTGCTCCAATAATCAATTGATTCTGAGAAGCTTATGTAAATGAAAATTTAAATGTCATCATTATAAGTTTTATGTCTTAGTTCTCATTGATCTTTTTCATAAACAATAAAACATCTATTCCCAACAGAACTAATGTTTTCTACCAAATATATATGAATATCCATTAGGTAAAAAGCATTATGTTAATTCAGCCTGGAAATTCATGCCATCTTTTCATTGATATATTTCAGTCATGGAAGGGACTAAACAGATGAACAGCAAATCAAATACAGAGAGCAAAATATCTAGTTCTCACTTGGACAGTGTGACTGTTTCAAAAGTATTAGTCAGAGATGAAGAGAAGTCCAAGAATGTAACACAAACATTCACCACTGCTAACGCTTCCAGCTCTTCAAGGCTTTCATCCAGACCAGAAAAGACTGAAAAAATGGATTTGTCGCGCAGGAATTTTGTTGTCACTAAAGAAGCATTTACATTTTCTCAGGCTCCTACAGGTAAATAAAGAAAATCCTCTTGTTTCTTCTGGATTTCAAGCCTTGCTAAGGCTACCTGGGATAAAGATAAAATGAAAATATTTGGGGTGGATATTAAACAAGAAAACCTGATAAAAAACAAGCAGATTATTTAAAAAGATGCAATAAACTGAAGTCACTAGGAGATGAAGATGAATGAAATAATTGCATCTTCTTTAATGGGACAATAAAATCTAGTTTGAAGTTGGTTCTAGTCCAGAATAATATGTATGACAAAGTTTAAAGCATGGGGGCAGACTGAGTTATTATTTTGTAAAGCATTAAAGATAATACTAATGCATACATTAGATTTCCTATTACAAGTTTTAATTTGAAAGAGATGGCACTGATTATTGGGAAAATTTCTGAAAAACTGTAATAATTGACAGTAAGGAAACAAAGTCCTGTTTATAAGGTTAGAGAAAAACATTTCACCTGTAATACGGTAATAGATCAGAGAACTGTACTAATAATATTGATAGTTGTTTGTAATAAAATTATCCATTCACTAATTCTTCTAAATAAATATGATTATAGTAAATCATGAAAGAAGTGTTTAAAAGTTGACACATTTTAATTTTAAATTGGTTTAAAAGATACATGTTTTTATCTTGTCAAATTCTCCTGAACATTGATTATTAAAATAGTACTGTTCACTAAAAATAAGCTATTCTGAAAAAAAAAGAGAAACTGTATAATGTAAATGTAAATCTTTAATTGTTGCTAGTACTGTTGGTATAATGAAATTAAGATCAAAACAATTGGGGCTAATTTACCATACCCAACAATAACTATTTTCAGATTAGAACCATGTTCTAATTTTTTATACATACCTTTTAAAACATTGATAGATTTCCTAAGCTGTTCTGTTGTTCTCCAGTTTGACATTCATGCAATCTTACAATACATTTGAAAAGACAAATGTGATCATCCTGATAGCCACACTTTTAGACCATGGTGGAAATTTTACTTCCACCAAACATAAAATGGCATGTTGCATTCTCATGAAAGCACACTATATAGATAAATTTACCAGGCCCAGTGCATTAGAGACAGAGAATACCAAAGAACTTACAAGAGGTTGGCAGTAAGATGAGGTATTGAACAGGTAATATTTGTATGGATAGGTATTCTATCCCTTTTTGCTTTTGTTATATATCACATAACTTTGAGACCTTAAATTGTTTCTTTATGTGGATTTTAATGAGTGGCATTTTCGTGGGCTTTCCAGAAAATAAATAAAAACTTGCTTGGGTTCTTTGCAACTGTATGGATTAGAATGGGATAGGGATAGGGATAGAATGGAATGGAACAGAACGGAAGAGAACAGAATAGACTTTGGAGGTCTTCTAGTCCAGTCCCCTCCTCAAGCACCTATACCATTTTAGATAAGTGACTGTCTAGACTCTTCTTAAAAATATCCAGTGATGAAGTGCCCATGATTTCTGTAGGCAAGCTGTTCCACTGGTTAATTGTCCCCACTGTTAGGAAGTTTCCAGGTTCTCCTCTCTTTGGTTAGTTTCCAACCATTGTTTCTTGTCCTGCCCTCTGATGCTTTGGAGAATAATTTGACCCCCTCTTCTTTGTGGCAGCCCCTCAAATACTATAATGCTGCTATCATGCCCCCCTCCCCAATTAATTTTCTACTGCATTTCAGAACAGAACGGTCAGCAACAGAGCAACTCAGATATGGAGAGCATTGCTTCTAACTTTTACACAGAGAACACTGACAGAAGTGTGAAGAAGATAATACAGACTCTGGGGTACACCAGTAGTTCTTACCATCCAGAGTCAATATCCACAGCTTCTCAGAGTGAAATACCCAGCGGTTCAGCTCTTACTGATTCTTCTTCTGTGTTGACTCCAGTTCAAACCAGACAAAAAGATTTATCACCTGGGTTCACCGATGTCATGGAAGCAGAAAGTACACATCCTTGGGATTCCTCACAAGCAACAGGTAAAGATTAGGGTTTTTTTGCTGAGTTTCAGAACCTTGTCAAGTATCAAGATAAAAACAAAATGTCACAATTACACATTAAGTGAGAAAAAAAAGGTTGGGATGTTTAACTGGAAGTAGCTAAGCAGCTAAGACATTTGAAGGTGAAGTTCATTAAACATATGCTGGTTTTTTTAATTATTATTATTTGCAATTTCAATTTATTTGGCCACCCATCTCGAATTCACTATTCTGTGCAGCCAACAAGAGTTTAAAACACCAGTAGCATATACCAGTAATGAAAACATACATGTAGTTAGTAGCTGAAGTTTAAAAAAAAACAATTAAAATGACCATCATTGACA